CCTCTCGAACACTGGGGGGTTGTCATTCACGTCCTGCACCTCGACGCTCAGGCTCAGGTTCGCGGAGAGGCCGCCACCGTCCAACGCCCTTATCAGAAGGCCGTGCCGTTGCTGCGTCTCGTAATCCAATCTCCTTGACAGATAGAGCTCCCCGGAGCGGGCGTCTATCCCGAACAGGTCGTTGCTGTTCTGGCCGAGCGCGTAGCGGATCGGGTGGGACGGGACGATGTCGGGGTCGGTCGCGTGCGCCACGTACAGGGGCGCGTGAAGGGGGTGCGACTCCGCCACGGAAATTCGGACGCTGCTCGTCGGGAACGTCGGCCCGTTGTCGTTCCCGTCCTCCACGTTCAGCTCCACCTGTGCGTCCCCCCCCCCCCAAAAATCAATATTCGCGATACTTTCTCACACAGGGGAGGCTCTCGTTCGGCCCCCGCTCCGGCTCACCTGACAGTAGCCCGTGGAAACTCCGTTTCGCGCCTCCACGCTCAGAACGTACTTGTCCCGAGTTTCTCGGTCCAACGGGACGCGAATTCGAATCATACCCGTGACGGGGTCCATACTTAGATCCGGTTCTTCCTTCGCCAAATAAAATCTGGTTGGCCGCTCACCTGCGAACACAGTTATTATTATATTGTTAAACGTGGCTACAAAGTGGCTTTTTCTCTTAAGTACTTTTCTTTTAAATAATGATCGTTTCGAGGGAGCGAGTTCAAATCTTTCGATGGAATTAATCTTTTTTCCTCGACCGAGAGTGTTCCTTTAAAAAGAACGGAAGAGAAAGAGAAAGAGAGAGAGAGAGGGGGGGAAGGCTGAAAGCGCAAAAATGACGAAGAGGTATTCGTATAAGTTGCTCGTTAATTATAACTTGTTCTCACGTTTCGTTCCTTTCTGCGAGAATCTTGGCTGGATCGGCCAACATCCCCTCGATCGAATTTAAACGCGCGTCGCGTGCAAACGAAGCGACACCCGGGGTGAATCGAGTAGACGCGTGAAATCGATTAACGGGGAAATCGTTAGCCCACGAACGAGAGAGAGAGAGAGAGAGAGAGAGAGAGAGTTCTTTCCCGTCCGCCCACATTCCAGCAGCTATAGGGATGTTCCGCCGCCACGCGGGATCCCACGTGGTATTGTTCTCGCGTTCGACTTCTAGATCGCCCGCCCCGTCCAAAGAACCGTTACAGCCTTTGTCTCGCCGATATCTTTCGTGACATTTCAGTCGAGGTCGATACTCGATTTTTTCCCCCGTTGTATATCAAACCCGTCCGAGGCGGGACTTGGAACTCGTCCGACGCACGAGTTTCCAAGGTTTTCCTTTTTTCTCTTCCTCCTCGTTTTTTCCCCGGCCAGACGCTCGTCGATAATTGCTCGGTTCGATCGATCGCACTTCGATCCAAAACGGGAGTCCGGATCCCTTCTGGACGTTTCGTCCAAACGCCTGCGATCTACCGCGTCGCGATCGTCTCTCCCATGGAACCGATCGAGTTTTTCCTATCCCGCGGACGCCGGGGAAAAACCTGGTGGACGGGGACAAGGAATAAGCACCGCCTCCGTCGGTTTACGTGGAAGGTAGCTCTTCCATTTCCACGGTAAGATCGGGCCGAGTAGTAAGCCCCCGCCATGACCGTCGAGTCGAGGCGAGGCGAGACGACGAGTGGAACGACATTGGCCTTAAAGACGGTACTCGGTCGCGGTACGTGGATGGCATAATTTATGGATCCCTATTTATATAGCCATTCCACATTTCGCTCCCTTTCTAATAATCCCCTCTGTTGCATCCTCCCGATAAATCCGCGGGGATCCTCTCCATCCAGATTAAAAAAAAATTTCTCGACGAGGGCTCGATGGATTAAAAAAAAAAAAGAAAGAAAGAAAGAGAGAAGAAAGTCAATTCTCTCGTAATCGTAAGCGAGAGACGGAGAAGTGGCGTGCGACGAGGCCACGGATCGATATCGATCGGGAGAAAAAGTACGGGGAGGAGGGGTGCGCGAGCGAAACTCGTGCTTACCGCCACTCGATAGCCGTGTTATTAAAATTGCTGCAAAACTCGTCCCCGCCGCATGTAAATGTGGCTCGCGTACGTGCACGCCTGCATTCGAAGAATATCGCGCGCGCGCAAATGTAAGCGAGTTTGTACGAAATTGCGCATCGTAAAGTGTAATTGTAAAGTAGCAGCGTATCGGTGAAAGCGAAGGGTGAAAGAGAGAACGCGTACACGAAGGCGAGGTAGAAAGGACGAGGATGCAGGTACGGGACACGGACGCATCGCGGCTACCTCTACTACACCCATTCGGCATTCCCGTACCCGTGTTATTAAACGTCCGCGTGAGCTTTTTCCCTCCGAGCCTCGCCGCGAGAGGAGGATCCACCGTACCACTATCTCCGTATATAATTACGATACGGGCGAATCGGCCGCGTGTCCGAAAGGAAACCGACCCCGACCACCACCACCACCACCCCCACGGCTCCGTTTAATAATCGCCGTTCCGTTCGGAAGGGGGCCGATCGTTGGAGCGGATCGTGGAACCGACATTTTCCGCGAATCCGACGCCACCCGCTCCATCCCCTTCCCCGCCCCCGAGATCGGTATCGCAAGAAGGAATCGAAATGGAACGAGTCCCCCGACGAACGGGTTTTTCACCCGCGGTGCCGAGTCGAAAGGGGCTTCGTCACCCCGGTTGCACAGGCGTCCCTCCGGGGTGTCCACGTGGGTGTAACGAAGACAAATCGCCCGCGTATTTGATTAATTCGCAGAGATCGCCGGCCCAGCCCGGTCCCTTCCACCTCTCACGTGGCCCTNNACGTCTCTTCTCCGTCCCTTTCCTTCGAACTCGGATCGTGGATCGAATCGAGAGCGAGTTTTTGTCCCGGCCCGACCCGCAACGCGCTCTCCCCGTTATTGATTCTCGCCCTTTCTCGCGTCTTCTCCCGAAAGCTAACGTAACAACGAATAATCCGACTTTCCTCTACCACACCTCGTTCTCTCTCGCGTTCTTTCTCTTTCTTCTTTTCATCGAACCAATCCACCCTCGTACTTAAACGAGGAGTTGAACCGATATCGAACGATAATGGTGGAGAGAGAGAGAAAGAGAGGCGAAGGCAAACGTTGTTCGAGGCTTGACGATCGCGTGCGAAACGGTAATACGTGGCAGGAAAGAAGAAGAAGAAGAAGGGGCCCTCACTTCAATTTTCAACCTCCTCTTTTTCCATCTCGAAAATTCCACGGGCTGATTCTCGAAACTCGCGAAACTTTTGGGAACGCGCCCGCTATTTATAGGAGAAAAAACGATGGCGGCAAGAAGCTTTTCGTTAATTAGAAACGGTAATTAGCGGAGGAACGCGTTGGCCTTGGTCGCTCGTTTATAATCGGATCGCGAGCGGTTATACCATTT